CCCTGAATGCCTGTCCTCTTTCAAGACAGAGAAAAAGGAGAGGAGGAAAAAGACAGGAAGAGCAACAGAGAGAGGGAGAGAGGGATAGGGAGAGAGAGAAGAGGAGAGACAGAGGAGAGGAGAAAAAAGGAGAGGAGAGGAGAGAGAATATGGTGGCCATGTGTCTCTAGACAGCCTGTGGCAGGAGAATTCAGACTGGTTGGTGGTGAGTCTGCACAGGAAGTCCTGTTGAGCTTGTGCTCTTTCTTCTATTGTGGTTCATTTATGTTACTATAACAAAATGCCACCAACTGGGTAATTTATAAAGAACAGAAATTTGTTTCCCACAGTTCTGGGCTGGAAGTCTAAGATCAAGATGCTGGCACATTCAGCATCTGGCGAGAGCCTGCATCACTAGCATTCTTATCTGGTGGAAGGCAGAAAGGAAAAAAAGGGCTTTGCTGGTTCTCTTCAGCCTTCTAATGCGGTCACTTATGACTTTACTAAGGACTAATGACTACTAAAGTCTCCACCTTTTAATACTATCTCATTAGGTCTGAAGTTCCTACATGGGAATTTTGTAGGGACATTTGCATTCAAACCCTAGCACTACCTTAACCCTGGATTAAAAGGATTCGGGTTTGGTTGTGGAAACACCACCTGCTTTCTCTACTGTTTGTGCACACCATACCTGCCCAAAGTGAGGGACTCCCTGGGGTCTCAAGCAATCCAGGAGTAGCCTGAAAGCTTGGTTTTGTTTTATCTGCACATTGTAAACCTGTGTAGTCAGCAAAAAGGCATCCACCAAGAGGATGGAAAACTTACTTTTATTTCCTCCCCTCAAGAACCAGAAAGTCTGACCTTTGAAAGACTTAGTACAACTGGCCCACTCTTAGCCAGCCCTTGTTCTGCTTCTCTGACACCTGTGAGCATTTCTCCTTCCTCAGGAGCCTGGCTGGGCTGCCCCAGTTCCTAGGATCCCTCTATTTGTCACCTCCATGAGGCATAAGGTGTTTGCAGCTCACTTCATGGCCCACCCCTTACTGTGTTTATTCGTATAAGCCCATGTATCTACATCTCCTCCTTCCAGGGGACAGTAGGGGCCTTTATCATCCTCATGTTATCTGGCCCCAGCAGCTCCTAGAGGCATTTTTTTTGGCTGGTTGATTGACATACATTTGTTGCCTCATTATAGAGGATTTGGGCCTCAAGAAGTGGCAGACCTCTATCTAACCTATCCGCCTTCTTCACTAGGAAAAGGGGCTGGCTAACCTACAGGACAATTTGGAAATTACTCCCTTCAAAGCCAAAAGAAACTCAGGTCACCTGGGAGGAAGACTGTCCAGTGGGAGGGGGCTGGATCTCATGGTCCTGACTCTACCCATAATATTCCTGGCCCTTGCGTGGTCTCATGCCGTTCCACCACCACCATCACACTGGTTCATGTGAGGCCAAATGATTGCCATGTACTTGAGATAAGACGGGAACAAGTCAATAACAATTGAAATTGAGAATGGACACATTGTGTCACAGGCAGCTAGTCAGTCTGGCTAATGAGCTGCAGTGACTCACCTTCAGTTTGTGGCCCATCTCTTCCCAGCTCTGTTCCCTTCAGATGGAGGAGGAGGAGGAGGAGGAGACAGAGATGAAGAAGAAGAAGAGGAAGAGGAGGAGGAGGAAGAAGGAGGAGGAGGAAGAAGGAGAAGGAGGAGAAGAGGAGGGGGAGGGAGGGAAGAAGGAAGGAAGGAAGGAAGGAAGGAGGAAGGAAGGAAGGAAAGGAAGGAAGGAATGAAAGACCCAGTCTATGTTCATGGATTGGAAGATTTCACAGAAAAGACATTGAATCTCCTCACACTGATCTATAGGCTTAATGAATTCTTATTAAAACCTCAGCAAGGTTTTTCTTTTTAAATAGATATAGATAAGATTATTTTAAATTTCCTATAGAAAAGACTTAAAATAGCTAAAACAATCCTGAAAAGAAATAAGGTGTCTGATATCGAGGTCAATTACATAGCTACAGTAATTGTGTGGTGGAAGCAGAGGTTAGACACATACATCAATGGAACCAAATACAGAACCCAGAATGGATCCATTTAAATATGCTGTTTAAATATCCATTTAAACAGATTTGTCACAAATGTGAAAAAACCAACCCAATGGAGTAAAGATAGCCTTCTAACAAATGGTGTTAAGGAAAGAAAGAAAGAAGGAAGGAAGGAAGGAAGGAAAGAAAGAAAGAAAGGAAAGGAAAGAAAGGAGAGAGGACCTTGACCTAAACTTCACAACTTGCTAGAAATTAGCTCAGAGTGGATCACAGACTTCAATGTAAGATATCAGGATATAAAACATATTAGATTAAAAACAATAGAAAACCTAGGGATCCAGGGTCAGGCAAAGAATTTTTACACTTGACCTCATCTGGAAGGCTGGGTATACATTGGGGTGGAGTGTGGTATGTACAGGGGAAAGCCTTGCCCAGTGCTTGGAATCCTGGCTTTCTCTTTCATCAGGGCAATATAAAAGCAGTGAAGTGTTGGCTGCTTTCCAAACCAAACTAGAAATGACACAACCTCATGCCTTCCCTGTCTTCCATCCCCAGAAGCCTGGGCTCTACATGGTTAGAAATACTGGTCCCCAAGGGAGACATACTCACCTGAAACCCCAGCAAGGAGTTCATTGATCTCCACCTTGTGTCTGCTTCCCGGGCATATCAGGATCCTAGTATCTAGGAGCCAACAAGCAAGAAAGGGAGTGGCGTCTTGTAAGGCAATCTGCCTGGTCAGCAACAGGAGAGGCAAGCTTGATTTCAGGCAGTAAGGTAGAGATGAACATGGGTGGAAGTCACCTGGGTACCTACCTCTTGGTACTTCTTACCCCACCATATCTGTGAATGGATGAGTACAACAACCTGCATTAGTCAGACTTTCCTTGCTGTGCTAAATAAATACAATTTAACAAGAGGAAGGATGTATTTTGGCTTATAATTTCAGAGGGTTTTAGTCCATGGGCAGCTGGCTCCATTGCTTTGGGTCTGAGGTAAGGCAGAGCATTATGGCAGTGGGAGTGATTGGCAGAGGAGACTCGTCACTTCATGGCAGCTGGGAAGCACAGAGGGACAAGAAGGGATCAAAAACAATATACCCTTCAAAGTCGTGCTCTCAGTGGCCCTCTTCCTCCTACCACCTCCTAGTAATGCCATCAAATTATGAAACCATCAGTGGATTAGTACATGGATGAGGTCAGAGCCCTCATGATCCAATACCTCTCAATAAGTGGATCCACCTACTGGGGATCAGGCCTTCAGTATATGAGACTTTATGGGGATACTTCATATCCAATACCAGCTCACAACGGACATGGCTACAGAGGCCCAGACCCACAAGAATGAAAATTTGGGTTATACCATCAGGCCAGCCACTGGAACCAGTGGAAGAGGAGGCAGAGGCCAGGAGAGATTAGAATGGATAGTGAAGGAAGGAGACAATGAGTCTCAGTTGTCACCCTGAGACCAATGGCAGCAACAGGGCTGTGCTTAGTCCTACTGACCTCTGTCATCCAAGTTTGCCTTCTGTGATCAATGCAACTTTGAAATGCCCATCCAACTTATTGTTCTTGGGTTTGTGATTCCTCCAGTATGTTTCAAGTGCTGGAATCATTGCTCTAGTCACCACACCATCCAAGCTCACCACTGCTGAAAAGTTGAAAAACTGGACTGCCACCTTGCATTAGGGCTGTCTGCCTGTACCCCATCTCCTTTCCATTGGGTATTAAGTGATCCAGTCCCCAAAGCCCATCTTAGAGCTTTCTCAGCCCACTTCTGGTGCCAACTATGGCAGGATGGATCCTCTGGGAAGCAGATGGTGAGGAAGAGTTAGGAGTGCAAAAGCTTTCTTGAGAAGTAAGACCTGTGACAGGAGAGGAAGCCCAATGGGAGAGGAAAACTTTTAGCACAGTCAGACCTGAAAAAGTCCCTGTAGACCAACAGGAAGCAGTGGAAGAAAGATTGCAGCTCAGAGGAGTCCTGAATCCAACAGGAATGGGCAGCCTCTTGTTCCCCTGCCCTGCTCAGCCGCTGGACTTCCCCAAGAGCCTCCCCAAGAAGAAGACCGGAAAGCAGAACAAATCTTTAAAGAACAAACCAGAGTCTGTCACAAGTGAATCCCTTTTTCCCCTTTTCTTTTGCAGTGCTGGGAAGGGAACTGACGGCCTTGCACTTGCCAGGCAAGTACTCTACTGAGTACAGCTGAGCTACACTCCCAGCCTCCAGGAATCCTTTCTTGAAGAAGGATCTGAACATGGGTGTATCTCCAACTCTGCCATCCAGGGCACATTTTCCTCATGGCAGAGAAAGACGCATGGCCGAGCAAGCCGGCCCTGCTTGTATCATGCCTGCTAGCATCCGATGGGCTGGAGCAAGTCAGGTGTCCTGCCCAAAGCTAAGGGTCCAGGAAGGATGCTTTGCCCACGGTGAGGCCATGGCAGATGCTTCATGTGAATGAAGCGTTGGGGCTGATATTTATATCCACATAAGATAGAGGCCCTTTGGAAAGGCCCTCTGGCTGTACTAACTCATTATTACTGGCTGCCAGGAGACCAGGGATGCTAGGCCAAGGGGGTGTCACCAACAACCCTCAGAAGGATAATCACTTGACTAAAAACCAAAAAAAAATGGATTCAGTACCTGGAAGGCGAAGCTTCAGTTTCAGGATAGGAAATGCCAAACAAAGCATAAAACAATAACCATGTCGTCTTCCCAAAGCCCCTGCCGGCCGCTCCAAGGCTGGTCAAGTGGATCAATAGCAATTTGGGGCGCTAGCGGGGGCGCCATCTGAGTAATTCGAAGGAGCTGAACTTGATGGGTTCCGGCTGCTTCCCGAGTCCTTAGGGAAACGTGTGCACCATCCACTTAGTGCTGAAGCTGGCCATTCTCCAGCCACTCCCACCCTCCTCCTCCAGGCCCAGCTTGGATGTTCCAGCCTCCTCCACGGGCTCCTCTGTCCTGCCCTGCCACACTCCAGGAGGATGGAGGAGGCTGAGGGGCGGCCCCAGGCCAGGAGGTGCTGCCCGGAGGCCCTGGGGAAGCTCTTGCCTGGCCTCTGCTTCCTCTGTTGCCTGGTGACCTATGCACTGGTAGGTGCTGTGGTCTTCTCTGCGGTTGAGGGCCGCCCAGGGGCAGAAGAGAACCCCGAATTGGAAAACTTCCTGAAAGAGCTGGGCAGCATCCTGCAGTGCAACCAGACAGGTAGGTGCCTCACCTGGCCTGCAGGGCCTTTCCCTAGGGGAGAAACCTGGGTCTGGGAGCTGCCTGCCTGTACCTTTCCCTCTACTGGGAGATCTTAGGTGAGTGACATCTCTCTGAGCCTCGGTTTTCTCCTCTGAGAAGTGGGGAGTTTAATGGCTACTCAGGGGTGCTGTGGAAATTCTTAAAGGCCAGCTCCCTTTCCTGAGGCTCAGTTCACAGTCCCACCCCGCCTCAAAGGCTCTGGGGAGGGTGGATTGCTGGCTACCTTAGGGGACTGGGCTGAATGGGAGGCACAGCTGGAGCTTCTTAGGCTGCTCCTCAGAACTGTGTCAGCCCCACTCAAGATCCAGTTTGTAAGGACTATAATTCAAGGAACTCCCCCACCAAACTGGGCTTGGCTCCCACGACTAGTAAGCAGCCTGTTCCCACCTCTCCTGCTTCCTGTTTCAAAGGAGGGGCTGCGAAAAGAACTTGGAGCCTGGGTGTCAGGGCTCCCCAGCTTGCTATGTCTGAGGTCAGCAGAGCCCTTGCCACTCTCCTAGAGAGAGGAGGACCCACAGTCTCAGACCTGCCAATAACCAGGGCCCTGAAGCCTCTGGAAGGCAGAAGGTACTTTAGTGTCCTGAGTGCCTTTCTTTGTGTTCAGTCACTTGTTTCTCCTCTGCTATGTTTGCCAAAGGAAGAGAAACCAAGAGAGAGGAAATAAATAAAAGACAAAGGAATTAACAGGGGATGATCAGGGTGCGGGAACTTCCCACTCTGCCCTGGCCAGGCCTTAGCCTTCTGCTTCCTGCTCCTTCCCCAAGCTGGGCCTTACTGGCCTTACTATGGGAACAGGTCCTCTGCTGCAGCTGACCGGAGGCTGGTCCAGGGAGTCAGAGTCCACGCTCTTCACCCTTGTCAGATAGACTCAGGCCTGCTCAGAAGCTCTGGGAGATGCTCTGGCCACTGCTTGCCTACTTGGGGTCAACGTGCCAGCCAGACCTCCAGCAAGCTCAAGGCGCTCCAAACCTGCTGGCAGATCGGAATCCTTCAGCGAGCTGGTTTAGAATACATACTGCCAGGTTCTTGCCCAGACTCCTCACTCGACATCTCCAAGACTGGGATGGAAATTCAAAGGTTTCCTGGATGCCCAGCAGACCGTGGAACACAGAGCTGGTCCAACTTCATTTTGCACTGTCTTTCACTGCAGAAAAGTGCTCCATAAATACTAGCTAAATGTAGGCCCTTTCACACGCTATTCCAGAACCCTTTGAGTATGAATTGTCCCCTTTTTTTAAAGAAACACAGGCACTGAGAGGTTAAGCAACATAGCCAGGCTCACAAACTAGAAAAATGGAGGTAGGGATCCAACCCCAGGCATCTGAATTCCAGAGTCTGAGCTTTTCATTAGCATGTCATCCTTCTTCCCAGATGGGAGAACTGAGGCTCAGAAAGCAGTCTCTTGACCATAGCTACAGGAAGTAGTCAGGGTCTGAGCTGAGCTTAGATGCCGGTGTCTGAACTCCCAGGCTGGTGCTGTTCAACAGGTGGTGACTTCTATGTATGCCAGGCTCAGCGTTATCCTCTTCTGATCCTATTAGAGCCTGGTGGGAAGTTTTTGGAGTCCCAAAGCCCATTGGCTGCCTAGGCCAACAGAACCATTTGAGATCCTCTCTGAGAAGACAGGGTTCCCAGCCCTGCCCTCTCTCAGTCTTGGGACCAACCTAGGCTTCCCTCCTTGAAAGAGCAGTTCAGGAACTGGCAACAGAACCCAGTATTTGCCTGGGCTGTCTTTGAACCATGATCTTCCTGATCTCTGCCTTCTGAGTAGCTATGATTACAGGCATGAGCCACCAGTGTCCCGTAAGTCACCAAATCCCAGTGGGCTTAATGCTCTGCAGGAGCCGGGACAATCTGCATCCACGTCACAGCTTACATTTCCTGAAAGCCTTTTTGCTTTCAGTTCTCAAGAATTCCATGAAAACAAAAAAGGAATGATAGACACATAACACTTGTGAAGGTAGAGGATGCAACGATATGTATTGAAAGCTGTTGGAAGATTGGGCTGGGAGAGAAGGGGTAAGGAAGAGCAATGGAAGGGGTTGAACTGACCAAAGTAAAGTATAGTCACAGCAGGGATACACTGACAAACTCCTTTGAACATTGACTCAGAAATTAATAATGAAAGGACTGTAAAATAGGTACAGTGCATGCGTGTGGAGGGGAGCTCTTATGGGAAAGGAAGGGTGAATGAGGGAGATGAAGGCAAGGGAATGTGGTTGATGGATTTCATATACATATATGAAATAGAACAGTGAAATCTCTTGGAATGCTTTAAGTGGGGTGGGAGGGGGTGGAGGGGAAATGATGACGGAGGTGATCTAACCAATGTACAATGTAAGTCTATTTGGAATTGTCACTATGAATCCCCCATACAACAAATATACCCCAATAATAAAAAATTTAAAAATATATAAATGAATAAAAAAAATTAAAGCTAACTATAAGAGAAAATGGAAAAAAGAATTCCATGAGAGAGTCAGAGCAGAGGTGTTTTATTCTTTGAAAAGTAAAAGAAATGGAGGTTCCAAAAATTAAAGCAATTCCAGGACTGAGCTCAGCTGGACCTGGGGCCTCTTTGTTAGTGCTTTTCTCATGGAGCTGTGTGACCTTCTAGACTCCAGGGACCAGGGGCAGGACCTGAGCCACAGAAGCATCATAAAAGAAGGCTCCAGGGCCCAGCCATGGTGTTGATGGGGACCACAGAGCTGGGAGTGGCTGGGCCTTGGGAAAGACCCTATCCCTGTCACCTGGGTGGGTCTGTGTTGCTGGACAGAGCCCTGTCTCACTGTGGTCTCTCTCTTGAGTTGTGGAAGGCAAGAAAAAGAACCTGCGGGAACATCTACAGAAGGTGAAGCCTGAGTGGTTTAAGGATCCAAGTGACTGGTCCTTCTTGAGCGCACTCTTTTTCTGCTGCACTGTGTTCAGCACTGTGGGTAAGTACAGGGCAAGGGCAGATTTGCCCTGTGGCCACCTCCAACCACAAACTGCAGGCTGCCTGGGAGAGAGACTGGGGTGGGGAGAAGCGGGAGGCCCCACCTGTTGGTGGAGGTCCGGGAACATTCAGTTTATTGAGTACAAGAAACGATGAGGTATGCATACAGCTGCCAGGCCCCCTGTGCACAGGCAGGCACTGTTCCAACTCAGGAGCATTGCAGTGAGTACGGCTGCCACTGACCCATATGGACTTCCATGCAAATTAGAAGAGAGCATCCTTCCTTCAGGTGGGCGTAGCCACATGCCTGGGCAGAGGTCCCAGGGAGCAGGATGTGGACCAGATTTTGGCTCTTCTTACCCCCTTGCCTGAATGCTCATGTACAAAGTACAGTCTGTCAGTGGTATGTGCCTGACTGGGAACAGGGCAAAGGTGGTCCCAACCCACTGACTCAGGAGGGCAAGACAGGAGTGTTCACAGGTGTCTAAATGTGGTCTGTGTGTGACAGTGATGTGATCAGGGGATTCTGAGAGGAAAGAGTATGGGCAGTTGCAGCTACTCAGAGCAGAGGCAAACAAGCAGTGAGACCATTTTAAAGAACTCCTGGGGTAGGGGGAGCAGGATGATGGTGAAGCAGGAGATGGGTAGGAAGTCCAGGCATGAAGGAGAGAAATCTGGACAGGAGCAAAAGGAATGTCTGGCATTGTAAGGCTAAGTCATGGGTACAGAGAGACAAGAGATTGATGGAGGGCGGGACCACAGGGTTGAGGGCTGGCAGGAGTGCCCAAAGGACATCCTGCAAAGGAAGGAAGTGGTGGCTCCGAATCCCACACAGACCACTCCACCTGCAGGGCAAGTGGGTCAGCGGGGAGACTTCTGCAGCGGCTAGGCGAACAGTGATGACAGCCTAATCCAGGACAACTTGGGCAGTGGAGCCAACTTTGGAGGAAGATCTGGAGTGGCTGGCTGGGTGATGAGGAGGACTCCACCTTGTGGTGCCCTGAGCAGGGGTGGGTGGAGCCCTGCAGCACCCCTTATACCTGCAGGACAGCAGGGGTACTGGGTGGGAGAACATTAGAACACTTAGAGGGCATCAGAGGAGGCAGCCAGGCACAGCCTGGACTGTCCTGGTAGCAGCCCAAGTTGCCACTGCAGCTGTTCTGCTGCTTACTGAGGTCCTGAGAATTGGGTGCTGTGAGTCCCAAGTTCTCAGTCCAAAGGGTGAAGTCAGGGGCCAAGGTCATGCAGCGAGTGGAGCTGGTGCCCACAAATGGGCTTTGAGACTCCAAGTCCAGTGCTCTGGCATACCATCCTCCCTCTCCACACAATACCCTCCTCTAGAATTCTGGTCCATTCCCAAGGGAACAGCTGCCACCTAGCTGCTGGTGACTCTAAACCTTACCTCCCCAGTCTTGCCCCTCCCCAGAGCCCCAGATCCACGTTCTTAGTAGTGCTGGGCATCTCCATTTGGAGACACCACTGGGACTCTACCTCCACTGGCCCTGCGTTCAGTACCTTCATCCTGGTCCCCACTCTCACCACCCTCCTGAGCCTGCCCATCCCTCCACTTGAGGCAGAAACCCTGGTGTCTACCTAGGCGGTAGCAACAGCCTGGGTTTCTGAGCTTCCTTGTGTGGAGGATGGAGAGGATGGCATGCCCTGGAGAAGAAGTGTTCTGAGAGGACAAAGCCTCTGCACCGGTCCCCAAGATAAGGAAAGGTTTCTTATGTTCAAGTCACCTGTGGGGTGTCCCTTCCAGAGCCCAGGCAGGGAGAGGGCTGTGCTCAGGAGCTGCCCTTTCACTATGACCAGCCATTCATTTAAAGACAGGCTCTGGGCTGAAGGTGTGGCTCAAGTGGTAGCACCTGCTAACAAGCGCAAAGCTCTGAGTTCAAACTCCAGTACCACCAAAATAAATAAATAAAAATAAAGACAGGCTCTGGGCACCCTCAAAGCCATACATCCTCCTCTTGGTGGCTATGCAAAGGGTGGGATCCTGGATGACAGAAGACACTGAAACTGGGATGTGGAGATGGCCTTCCTTTCTTTCTCCTGCCTTCCTTCCACCAAATATATACTGAGCACCAACATACACCGCAGCTGTGCTGGCTAGCAGTTTGCACTTAAGATATTCCAGGTTTTGTCCAGTTTTGTCTTTTGGTTTTTGTTTTTCTGTGGTGCTGGGAATGGAACCAAGGGTCTCAGGCCTACTAGGCAAGCATTCTGCCACTGAGCTACAGCCCCAGCCCTAACTTCTTCACAATGATTGATTAGCTCATCTAATCCCCAATGGGCCATATACAGTTTAAATAGGCTCAGTCTCACAGCTCATGTGTATTTGAGCCCAAACCACCTAGGCTTTCACCCAACACTTTACTGCCTCCCTCTCTCTCTCTCTCTCTCTCTCTCTCTCTCTCTCTCTCTCTCTCTCTCTCTCTCTCTCCACAAGCTTCTGTGTCCCCCACCCATAGGATCTGGCTGGATGCTCCCTGCCTCTAGTCTAGAGGAGGAGAAGGCAATAAAAGATAAACCCACAGTCCTATAAGCTTCCACACTAGGGGGTTCTCAAGAGGGGCAGCTCAAATGGTGGGGGTGGTGAAACAGGCCCAGAAGTGGAAGGGTGGAGGCTTCTCTGTGAAAGGAACGTGTGAGTTGGGGTCTGATGGATCAGAGGTTAACCAGGCAGAGAAGAGCAAGAACTTCCCAGGCAGAGGTAACAATCCAATCAAATTTAGTGGACCCTGTCAGGAAAAGACCATTGTACTGGATGGCAAAGAATAGAGCAGAAAATGGCTGAGACCCTGTTGGGGAGTGAGGCCTCCTGGACTAGGGGGGCTTGAACTCTGTGTCCCTGGGCCAGCACTGAGAACATTCCAGTAACTAAGGGCTTGTTCCAAGCTGACCTGATCATCTTGGCGTCTCTACTGGTGGTGTTGCAGGATGGGGTTGACTTGGAGGAGCCAAGCCAGGGTTCCCCTGCCAGGGATGGGGTAGGAGAGGTTGAAGGGGATGGGGCTGCCCTTGGCTACTTCTCAGGAGCTCTTGGGTAAGAGTCTTACCAGGAGCATGGCCCACTGCTCAAAGGGAGGCCCCTTCCCCTCTTGGTCAACCAGCAGGACTAGGACCCCTCTTTTCATTCAAGAGAGGTGTCCATCCCTAGGAGGGCCACAAAGATGCCACTGGGTGGTTCCAGTGGGTATATGGGGTGGTGGAGCACAGTGATCAGCTATATATTCTGGAGGCCAGGCACCATGGGTCAGAGATGGGTAATCTCTTTTAAGGGGTGAGGCCCCCCTAAGCCTGGGTCTGGACCCATAGCCCTCCTAGACCTGCCTCCCAGGGTCCATAGAAAGATTGGTGATGACCATATGTGTGAGTGGCAATCAGGAGACCTTCAGTGGAAGCTACCTGAAAACCCAACCCACCACTGTCCACTGCAAGGAAACTGTGTCACCTCACAAGGAAGAGGCCAGTGGGAGAACAGCTCTAGGGCTAATTTCCAGTCTGCTGTGGCATTGAGCACCAGGTTTTCTCCACCCTCCTGCTCAGTAGGTTGGAAGAGGCCATCAAGGTTCATACTTCCAAACATAACTAAATAGGGAAAGGGATACCAGTTTCTTCTATGTGTCTCATAATCAGTGGGGATCTCTTCCCATCCCTGTCCCCACAAGGGACTGGCTCACTGGGTGACTAAGACCCCATGGTCTACCCCTAAATGAGAGAGGGAGCAGTAGCTGCTCTGTGGGCGACCTGAATCTGCTGCCACCACATGCTCTATAGATGGACCTCAGCTTCAACGGAGCTCTTGCGGCCCCTGTTGGTCCTCACAACCAGTTTTGTTCACCTGAATGCTGAGACAGGCAGAGACAGGTCAGGGAAGCATATGAACAATAGCTGCACCACTGAGTGCGTGCCCACTGGACATCAAAGTGCCTTATCTTATTTAATTCTCAGAGCAGACGCATGAGCAAGGTGCTGTGACTGTCCCCCTCCACAGATAAGGGGGGCAGGCTCTGAGGGGGTATGGCCAGCAGGGCAGAGATCAAGTCCAAAGCCACCCCTCCAAGGCCCCTCTATCTAGGGACAGCAATGAGAAAAGACAGTTCTGGAGAAAAGTAACTGCAAGGATGATGTGGAGATGAGCCAAGGGACTAAGAGGATGGACTTCAGTTCATCTTTTTTTTTTATTATTATTAACTTCAAGAACTTAGAGCTAATATATGGGTTCTCAGCCCTGGCTCTGTAGCCTCTTGGACCAGGTAATTCTTTGCTGTAGGGGGCTGGTGTGTCAACTATAGGATGCTGAAAAGCATCTTTAGCCACCACCCACTAGGCACAGGAGAAATTTCCTCATTCCCCCTACCCACTGTGGCTACCAAAAATGTCTGCAGGCATTTCTGGATGCAGCCCACTGAAAACACAGATCCATTTCTATGGTTATCAGAGTGTGGTCATGGACCAGTAGCATCCATATTACTGCATAGCTTGCTAGGCATGCAAATTAATTCTGAGGTCCCAGCAGACCTGAGAATTGCTGTGGGGCCCAGCAATCCATGTTTGAACGAGTCATCCATGAGACTCTGATGCATGCTAACATTTGAGAACTCACCTGTGCTCAGTCCTGGCTGACATCAGAATCATCTCGATATCTTTCACAATCCCCCATGACCGGACCCTATCCTGGACCAATCAAGTCAGAACCTTTAGGGATCAAGCCCAGCCATCAGTATTTTTTCACAGCCTACCTGGCTTTTTTCATTCTCATGGGAGTCAAGCTATGAATCGCCGATATAATGGAAATGCATTAGCTCAGTTTAGCTCTCCAGAAAGCAAAGCCACTACCCATTGTACAAGTCAATTAGGACAGCGTGTGCCCGGTAATTACTACTGGAGGAGGAGGTTGGGGATGTTCTGTACTGCCTGTGATCAATACAGTGCTCAAAGCTCCTCCAGAAATACTGCTTCCTGCCCTGCTTCACCTGAAGTGCACCTGGCCTTGAT